ACCCCAATAAACAAAGATGAACCATTTTAAATAATATTTGTAACAGAAGACTATCTCCATACGAGAATTGAACTTGCCTCTGGATATTCGAATAAAAAATACTAATTTCCATATAAGTAGTACTTTTCAGACGAAAATTCGTTTTATCTAAACGGGTTCTTACGAAATCCCAACCTCATAGGTCATCTGTACATCTTAAATCGCCGGAACTGACCGTTTGGGTGACTGTTTTACTTGACTTTGGTGTAACGTTCAGTATCAGATGTGAAACAAGGGAAAATGGTCAGTATGTTGTTGTAATGAATGAAAAATTGTTGCCTTTCATTTGCGATGATAATCAACAATGGCATCAACACAAGGTAACCGGATTATTTATTTTGTCTTTGCTGTTTTTTTGTGTTTTAGCGGTATACTGAAAAGCACAAACCGAAGGCCGAACCTCTTAGCATTAGTGATCAGTAATCTAAATTAGGGTGTGGAAGCATTTTGTGCACTCTTTTTAATCTAGTACTATTCCATAGATGGAGTAAATTTTAGGCAAATTCCTTGCAGATGTTTTATGTGTAAACCACAATGCTTGTACTGATTTAGCAATACATGTAAAATAAAATTCGGTGACAATCAACTTTAGCTGAATTTGTAAACAAATTTATGACAACCTTTTGAGCTGGTAATATTCTATGCGTAAGATGCACCACTTAGAGTGAAGAATAACTCGATCTGGATATACGCGTTGTAATTTTAACGTTTAAAGAACGCCACTAGTTAACTGCAGTTTTCAACGAAAACCCTCGCTGGTGAGTTTTAATTTGCAGCAAAAAACAGGCTTGATGAACCTATGTGTCTCATGGATAGGAAATTATGCCCCGAAAAGTGCGAAAAAACAAGAACATTTGAATTTACTTCACGTTTAACCTTGCAGAGCAGAAAATGAAGTGGGGTGTTTGCACCAAGTTTTCTTGTTCGTCCAGGTAAACTCATTTGGGTTTAAGACGCCGACCCAACCAAGTACACGTGATTGGCTAACGTCTAGAAATACACAGTAACGTCAGAAGTGT